TGTTTGTGCGGCTTAGAATTGTCAAGCCTTGATCGAACCTTGCAGGCTCTTAATTGTGGTCTAGTGACACATTAAGCGAGCTGAACAGACATGGATTGATGTAGCCTTTAGATGAAGCCTTTAGAAGGCATTGAAAACCTGTACACCTTGTCCAGCCTTCATGTGACTTGATAGTCTCAGGCCCTACGGCAGGTTGTGGCAAAGGCATGGGGTGTGAGCTGCGTGAGAAAAGGTGAAGCGATTGTGTGTTAGCACACTCGTGTGCGTTGTAACATGGAGCAGTCGGGCACTCACCAGAGCCGCCTGATTGCTCAACACCACCCTTTTGCCCACTTCGGCATCCTCCACCGTCGCTGCGTCGCTGCCCTGCGGCGCCTGGCTGCTGCTGGCGAAACCGCGTGCGAGCTGGCGGTATCTCGGCCCAGTTGGTGGGACTTCATTCGCCTGCATCAGGCGTTCAATCGAACTGCCACCCCCTGTCTCGGATGGTGAGGGCGTCGACTACTCAGCGGTGGACCTGCTCGTCAAGAGGACTCACAAGCGAACCCATGATGGCCCGCTCCCCTCGACTCCCTTCTCTGCGTTGGACGACCATTTGCGCGGACTGGGGACTGAACTGGAACACTGACGGGTCACCACCGATGCCATAAAGGCGTGTGCGCATCCATGGCCGCCAGGCTTGGCCAAGGGGTATAAATTGCCTGTAAGTTCAAGTTGTACACCGTGAAGCGCCGCCTGGCAAAGGAGGGCGTGGGATGCTGGACCAACGATCCAGCAGCTGGATGATTGGATTCGTGCCTGCCGTGCGAAACGTGTCAGCGGAAGGCCAGCGCTGCCCATCGGCTGTCATGGCCTGTGCCGCACCCTCGGCGCTGAGTGGAGAACGGAGGGCTCACAGCCGCCGGCCGATGCGGCGAAGTTGTGCGTTGTGCCCGGGTGGATGTACCGCCTCGCTGACGCGCCTGCCAGGGGGCGACCTCTTTAAGATGTTTTCCGCAGGGTGCCTGCCCAAGGCTTCGTCCTCTGAGGCCTCGTCCGGCAGCTCCTTCCACTGATGCAAAGGGCATCAAAGGGCACGGCGCTTCAATCTAGGTGCTGTGACTGTGCTATTGCCGGATAGTTACCGATATAGAGCATGCATGGCGCTGCTTCAGTTCGCGAGGCTCAACCTTGGCGTGTGCCGTAATTAGACCGCATGGCGTTCGAAGCTGTTGCCATGGGCGAATTGGACACCACCACACCCCGCCTGGTTCTTGACGTCGGAATTCTGACCAACGCCGACCTGGCGGAAGCGGCCACAGACCACACTCTACCTTCCTCTGGTTGGCCCGGTCACCGCCGATGTTGGGCGGACGCAGCTTGACCTCAGTTGGCTCCTGTTGGCGCGGACACCGCCGAACAGCTGGACGCCCGCCCAATGGTTGACTCGGACCACGTAGTTGGCGCATGTTGGCGCTATGGCCACGAGGCAAGTGCCGTTTCTCCTCTGCCTCTCACCCCGGAAAGGCCCAACGAACAGGTCCACGTCAGTGCAGACGAACTCCTACCCCAAGCTTGGTTCTTACGCCCTCAGGGGTGTTTGCCCACACACTTGCAGCAGTGCAAAGAAAAAATCGACAGCGACAAAACACCATAGTCATGAGTTTTCTAGCAGCGGGAGGGTTGGCAGAGCTCACATTTCATTTCCGCAAATACGAACAGATAGTAGGTGGCTGGATGCGTGTGGTGTTTGCAGAGGGGGCTGGGTCGCGAGTGGTGGGACGTAGAAGAGGTTTCCTTAAATTTGCTCCTGCTAGGGAACTTTTTGTTTCCCTTCGGTGCCTGTTGGTGACTTCAACAAGTTTAGTTGGGTTGGCAAGAGCTGGCTGGCCGTGAGTTTTCGCGCAGTTCCGCTACTGGGCTGTCCAGTTCGTGTGCTTGCCCCCAGTGGTGGACAAGGCTCCACCTGTTTCTTCATGGGATCTCGTGTTGTCAGGATGAGCTCCGGGTCTCTGTGTTCTTTTTGGCCTGCTGCTTGGAATTGTCCCGTGGCAAAGTGTGAGTTGGCTGCCTGGCGTTCAGCTCGTCTGAGGTTCTAAATGTGGACCGAAACACGGAGGATGCTGCTCGAAAGGAAGATGAGGCCATATGGTTCCAGTGAAGAGGGATACGTATAACACCGTATAACTTGTCACGAAGCTTTGGGGCAATTCTCACTGCCGGTCAACTCCCATCCCTTACGCTCGTGATGGTCGATGGCTACAGCTTCAGCAGATTGCCTGACTTCTTTGGCATGTGAGGAGCAGACTGATAACGCACTCTTCGAGGTTGGGCATGTGGTGTACGCAGCAGTATGTTAACTGGTGTGCTGTTGTGGAGCAACCTGGTGTGATGGTGGCAGATGCTGGGCGTACCAGAGATTGAGCAGATGCCACACCTGAAGACGCGCTTTCGGAAGGCCCTGGCTTTTCAAAAGTGGCTCATGTTTTTAAACCAAGCTCTGAATAACCTTTAGCATCCTTTAGCTAAGCTTTAGCTGCCTCATGCCTGCAGCACTGCATCTGATCAGGGCCCGCATTGCGTTGCGTCCTGACCTGCCGCCTGATAGGTCGTGATGAACTGCGCCAACATCTCACGAAAAGACTCCAACTGGGAGAACATGCTGAAGGTGGATCCCATGAACAAGTCTTGCGCTCTTCGTGGCATGACCATGACAGGAATTCCGCAAGATGCAAGTGCAAATCCAGGGCGAGATCTGAAGCAAGGCGCGCGCGTTCTGGTGCTGCTCATGTTGTTTGCCAGAGGCTCTGGTTGTTTCAGGCGACGGAGAGCTGAGTGATTTCCACTGAGCATGTCAAGAGACATGCCATGCTGGGCAGTAAGGTTTCACCCTGAACGTGAAAGCTGTCAAAGAGCCAGCAGAACAAAATCAGATGCTGTACTCGGGTGCCGGACAGCTATGCGTGAACAGAGCATTCAATAGGGCCACTTTGAACGGTGAATCTGCACGCTGAACCCATGCTCTGCGATGCAAGCGCAGTTGCGAGCACGCGTTTGCCTGACGACCGAGAATCATGTAAATAGATGGAGCAAACCCAGGCACGGCATTGGTTTCTCGCTATCTTCGGGAAAGTGTTGCAGCCTACTCGCGATTTCCGTCTTGATCTTTCGCGCGCTGGACGAGCTTTTCATCGACATAAATTTGGGGTTGGGTCTCGCATTCCTGCAAGCATGAGCGGAAGCCTCCAAACCTTGCAGTCTTAAAGCTTCAGCCCAGGCCTCCTCCTCGCGGCCCCATCCACAGCCATGCCTCCTCTTACTACTCTATTTAAGGTCAAGCCATGCTGCCTCTGTTCAACGCCAGCAACACATAACAAAAGAACGCGGCCAGTTCGCATGGCGATTTCTGTAGTGTGTTTAATATCAGAATGCCCATCGAACACATCCAATTTAAAAGGTTGAACGCTCCATCAAAGTTCAAACCACTTCGGTTGGGGGCCAGGCAAGGACAGGAGCGGCCGCTATGGGATGCTAGGAGAAGGAAGTGAATCAAAGGAAGGAGCACAACAACAGACCGAATTTGATTTGTGATGTACCGTTCTCAAGAGACACTCAATGTCAGTAAATGCTTGGCCAAAGAAATGAACACAAAGCCTGAACACCGACAGAGTAGGCTTCCTGGAGCAGGAAGGTGTCAAATTTTAGGTACTCATCAAACAACATGTTTCTGACAAGTCTCCCGCGAAGCAGGTGGACCTGGCATGGCATGCTGGGGGCTTTCCTTGTCGAGAGTTGCAACTGCGGGCTGTCTATGAAGAAAGCATGTTCTCCTGTTGAAAGATCCGTGTAACGCTGCATTTTCGAGTAGGGTAATTACGTTGGGCAAGGCATAGAATCCAAACCTCCAATTGAGTTTGGGGTTTGGGGTTTATAATCCCTAAGGGTCCTTGGACCCTTAGGGAATGGGTGAGCGGGCTACGCAAGAGCGATTAACAACAAGATAACTCCCTCGATAGACTACCTGATGGAATGTCTGAGTGAAACTCTGAACCGTACTCTGATGCACCCCTGCAGTTTCGCGTTTGGGTTGTGTTGCATATCTGCAGCGATGGTGTCCTTGCTGACCATTGATCGGACCTGCATGGAGTTTGTACATTTAGGACTAGGACTGAACTTTGTGGCTGCTGAGCCGCTCCTGGTGCTTCTCATGTTTTGGATGATTTTCTTCGTCTTTTTTCTTGGAAGTCTCAAGATGTCTCAAGCATTCTTAGCCTGCGTCCCTACGTTCGTGGTTCCATGAGACATCAACCGCAGTTTTCGAGTTGTGGCCGTTATGACACTCTCTGCGCAGAAGCGATTCGGATTTTTGGGATATCGATCAGGCTTGCGGCGCAGAGCACCGAGCACTCAAGTTATTTGAGTTGAAAACGTCGCGACATACGAAGGCACATGAAATCAGGGCATTCCTGAAGCTGTCGGAGCGCACACGTATCCAGCGCAAAGCACGCATGCAGAGAAAATTCAGCACTTTGTAAGTCAAACTGCCTGTGTCACGATAGGAGTGTCGCAAGCTTAGTGTACTTTGTTGAGATCAATCTCCTGATGACAACTGGGCCTTCTACAAACGATTTCCATATGCATGTGTCCCTGCATTTCGGGGAAGTACTTTCCTAAATGCAGTTCCCACTCTCGAAGAAAAAATTACAATGAGAAAGTAATCGCTTGTGCAAGCTCCGGGAGAAAGTTGGGGCACAACTCTCGATGCGTCATGACGGAAAAGTCGTCGCACAAGACGTGCAGTAGCTCTTGGGCAATGGGATTTCATGCGCTCCTCTCTGTAAGCCAACCTAACCAAAAACCAGCTTTCGTTTGTCGAACCGTTCGGCCAAAAAAAGGCCGAGCTGCGCAAAATTGTTGGTGTAATGCTTTCGTCCGCTTATTTTTTCTTTCGCGCCAGGCTGCATTGCGGCGTAGCAGGGCATCAAAACACGCATGAGGGTCTTTTTTCAATTTGGTAGTTGACGCTAATAATGGGATGATGCTGCTTTCTACACAATGTTCATGAGATGACGCCGCAAGTTGTCTTAGGAGGACTCTTATCAGCTTGGGAAGGGGCATTGAGCCCACACTGTGATAGGGACTATTATACATGGGTCGCCTATGCCGGGAGGAGTTGGCGCATGTTGGCGCTGATCTGGAACGAGTCGCGCACATGCACTGTCTGGATTTGAGGGGTCTGGGCAGGCATTACATTCGATTCATTCAGACATACCGCGACGGCGAAGTGGTCACTTCTTAGTAAACGGCTGCTTCAACAACTTCCTAAACCGACTCCAGCAATCGTTGCCAGAACGGGACACACTGTCTGCCTTAGGGCATCTCACATGCGGCGTGCAGTATGACGCAATGGCTACTGCAGTGCAGGTGCTTCCGTGGTCGACCGCTCGGCATCAAAAAGTCTGCGTGTGGGGTTGTGTTTCGCGGCAATGAGAGTCCACAGGCCCTTCATATTGAATGGGCTGATCATCAGGCAACGATGGATTGCATTGAATGCTGGTTTCTTGCAACATGGCATTGTCACATTTGGCGCAATGCTGAAATTATCCAAAACATGAAATATACGGCACAAGCGGCATTCCTAGACCATGACCTGTTGCAGTCGGCTGACGTGAGGCACAACGCGTTAGATGCACCGGAGTCGCCTTCTAACTCCGAGCGCCGCAGGAGTTTCCCGGCTGGCAGCGCTTGAGAATGGGAGGGCAGTCCCCAATAACACTTGCACTGGAGACGCTATACAATCCCGAACTAACCCTGGTGGGTCCATATTTACGGTGCCAGTGGGAGCTTGAGTGTGATGCACGCTGCTTGCGACATTGCTGTGGGCGATTGCGAATAAAGGACGAAGTCGGCGGACAGATGCGTACGACAGGTTCCGTGCAGGGCTGCTGCGCCCTAGTGGTGGAGGTGGAGGCGGCCAAGGGGGACGTGGTTGGGTGGAGGGTGTGCATGAACACGAACGGGCGGCAGCAGCAGTGGCAGAACAACAACGCCAGCCCCGCGACGCCTGCGGCAGATGCGTCGTCCCGATGAAGCGTTAACCGCCGCTTTGCAATGTGGAAAAGCACCCTGCATAACTTTGACCGGGCTCAGCGTTCCCGTGAGACGCATTCGGCCCAGCCGTGTTGTTCATGAGCATTTGGTTGTGGTGCGGGCACGCCTTTCACACCTTCAGAATTGCACGATGCATTTACCCAGTGAGCACCTGGCAACACACCAGGCTATGATGGCATACAGTATGAGGCATTGCATGTTGATATCGCATCGTGGAAAGATGCTATCCTACAACTGTTTGAATTATGCCGCGTGTCCTCGTGCACTCCTACCACATATTGAAACATGGAATTGTGGTGCCAGTGTTTAAAGGCGCCATATCCAGCGATCAGAATTGTCATCGCCCCATCACATTGACGTCGTGCTATGTAGAGCAACAATCCTCAGCTAGACGAATGCCAGGCCGGCTTTTCACGTATGTAACATATGTAACAACCCCGACGCCAGCACCTCTGCGTCAAGACGATAGAAACCGTAGCATTACTATTTGAGTTTGTTAAAGCACTTTTACCCAGTGACGCCGTTGAGTTGCAGTCACGCTTGATGGTTGCAGCCCACCAGTTGATTGCATTGATTAGTGTGTCAAGCGAAACCGCTCAGTACTGCGCCCTGCCCGAGGCCAGGTTCAACTTTCCGATGGTCGGAGGTGCGCGCGACTCGATGCGTACAGCTGCCTTCCGGTTTGTAAGTAACAATTGCATCAACAAGATGCCACAAGTCCTTGGGCACCACAAGCTCTATGTAGACGTAGCAGGGCTGTATCTTGCCAAGCAAGTCCTGAAAAACGCAGACACCGCAACCGCATTTGCGCAGTTTGAGGTCTTCGAGCAAGGCAGATGCCTGGACATCAGACCCCCATCGGGAGGGCACACGGTACGTACGCATGGTACGTAGTGAGGGTACCTACCACAGTTCGCGAAGGGCGCATTGCAAAAGCACACAGGGGCAAGAGCTCGATTAATGGATGCAAGTGCATCACATGACTTTACGCTCGGGCAGGAAGTCTGCCAGGTCAACTCAATATTTTCCTTTCGAAAATCATGATTAACGGTTGAACTTGACCTACCGGACCGGAAGTGGACCTCCTCCGTAGCACATCATGTCCCGCTGGGTGTGCACTGCTTCCTCTGCAAAAAAGCAGGACGCTACGCCACAGGCTGTACAACCGTGCGCCGCGTAGTGTGTACCAGAGACATGTGCCAGATGTGCCGGGGAGCATACCAAGGACATGTACCCAGAGCATGTACTAGATGTAAAGTGACATGATGTTACATGTACCAGAATTACAGTCACAATGTAATCGCCCCCCTGTTGTATCAAACGACGTCCCCCGGTAATATTGAACAATCCGGTGGCGGCCGACGAATGCGGTGGTGTTGAGCCGCCTTTGGCCGAAGTGCTGGCTGACGATTGTGCAGCCTTATTGGTAGCGTCCAGCCGCCTGCCGTCGCCGGGGCGGGCCATCTAAGCGCAAAGCGGCTGATTAGGCTTCAGAACCCGACCGGACCACAGAAAAGGCGCGTGAACAAAAATCCGGGGCCCGGAAAGTTCATTAGTACTAGGGGAGAAAATCGAAAATGGCTGGGCTGCTTTGAAAATCCCTTTAAGATCTTTATGTTTCATGGAGAATCAATAAGTAGAAGCATGG